GTTTCCAAACCCTCGCAAGTCTGTTATTTAGTAGAACTGACGGAACGGAACTGATGCGTTTTCGAATTGAAAAACAAAGCATTCATTTGCTCTTCTTTCTGAAGAAACTGTAATGGTGAATTTTTACTTGGTGATAGAGTCTAGATAGCTTCGAAATGTCATAGCTCTGTTTTGCTTATTTTCGTCAAAATTCTTCCAATTTGGGGCTTTATTCACTCCTTCATTTCAATCTTGCGTAGCTTTGTCATTTCGAGTTACTGGTTAAGAATCACTTAGCTTGAACTAGCGTGACGAGGACCTCTCAAAGCCTATAAGAGAAAACCTACAACACAGTTTCCCAAGTAGTTTTAGTGAGAATTATTGTAATTAAAAGTTTGAATGCTGTTTTTTACTGTCTTTTTCTCGTAGCTTGAGAAAGACATGGATGAACTCAAGGAGAAGCATGAATACGAACTGAGCGAAAAACTGTCCAAACAGGCAGAGCAATTTGAACAAAAACTAGAAAAGGAAGTACTAGAAATCACTGAAAAACACAAGGAAGACTTTGAGAATGAATTACAGCAAAGCCTAATTGCTACAGATGAAAAACACCAGAGCGAATTGAACGGATTGCGAAATGAACTTATGGAAGAGTTCCGAGAAAAACTTGAAGAAATGGAACAAACTCTTGGAGAACAACATGCACAGGGGTTGGAGGAGCTACGTGAAGAGCTTGAAAAGGAAAGATCCGAAGTTACAAATGCAGCTTTAGATGATCTGGGAAGAAGACACGCTGAGGAAATAGAGTTTATGAGGAACGAACAAGCACAGCTGCTTGAACAGGCTACAGAGGCAAGACGACGTTTGGAGAAGATTCACGAGGAGGAGATCCAAGAGATCAACGAACAAGTCAAACGCGAACATGAAAAGTTGTCACGGATGAGAGAGGACTTAGAAGGAACGTACGATGACACTGCTAAAGAGCATGCGCAACAGCTGGAAAACGCGCGGGCGCAGCTGGAGCAGCAGCGGAATGAGCTGAAGGCGACGCACTTGTCGGAGCTGCAGAATTTGAAGGCCGAGTTCGAGAGGCGGTTAGTTGAAGCTGATCAGAAGCACGCCGAAGAGGTAGAGAAGCTCAGATCGCAGTTGGAGCAGGAGAAGATGGAGAGAGAGTTAGAGCATGTAAGGGAACTGGAAAAACTTGCGGAAGATATGGAGAGAAGGTAACGTACATGTATTTAAAAAAATATAATAATGATGAAAAAAGGATACGTTCAGGTGCAGTGTTTTTTGCGAGTGTATTTTGTTATCGAAACCGTAAAGAATTTTGAAATGTCTGCGAAAGATTAGAAAGGCTGTTGGTAATAACGGTACCCATGCGTTCTTTACGAGAGTCTCACAGATGTTCAAATCGTGTTAGCGTGCATAAAAAAAATTAACTCTTAAGCATTTCAAAGTCAGTGGTAGCCTCATATTCAATACTTCTGTTAAAAAGCTAATCAACGTCAATCCAGAAGTAAGAATCGATCAAGGTTTTCAATTCTCTCATGATTACTCTCATCAGCTAGGAATAAACACGCGTGGTGCTTTATTGTTTAAGATGACATGCGGGAGTGGAAAACACGCGTGGTGTTTTTATTGTTTGAATATGACATTTGAACGCTGTAAACACGAATTAGAAATGTCATCGTCTTTTTGTCATTCTCGTAACTTGTTAAGTCAAGTTATCATTTTGCATCTTCCATTGTTAGATACATCTCCAAGGAACAACAGCATGCTAGAGAAATTGGTGAACTGCAAACTGAATTGCTCAAAGTCAAGACAGACATGGACGAGAAACAGTTTTCTGAGCTAGAAAGTACCATGAAAGATCTCGGTGGAAAATATGAAGAAAACCTTCAAAAGATTGTGAGAGATCTTCAGGATAAACAAGAGCAAGAAATTGAAAGTCTAAAACTTGATTTTGAAAAGATTAAGGAAAAAGAACTTGAAGCGTGCAGAGAAGAGTTGAAAGAACAACATGAAGATGAAATACGATCGCTTAGGTCACGCCATGAGATTGAACTTGAAGATTTAAGGGGGCAGTTCCAAGAGGAGAAGATGAAGGATTTTGCGAAAATGAGCGCCAAAATGGCCTTGAAAAATGCACAGGCTTTGGAAAAGATGCGACTTAATCTGAGCGAAACACACGAGAAAGATATGGAGGAACTGAGAATGGAAGGTCAGAAAGACTACGAGAGAACTGCTCTTAGGTTATCCTCTCAAATAGAAGGGATGGAAATTGAACATCGTAAGGCACTACGGCAATTGAAAATGGACCTGAACGAAAAGCATGAAAAGGAAATGGAGGATTTACGACGAGAGGTGAGCAGCAAAGAGGAGCTTTTGATAGATTTGAATGAGAGCCATGAAAAGGAAGTAAACGATCTAAAACGTAGACAGTTCAGTGATTTGTTAGATGAGGTATCTAGTGTAAGAGCAGAGCTTGCTTTGGAAGCAGTTCAGAAAGTGGAAGAAGCTAAGTTGGAGATGGTTGAAGATAGCTCCAGGAAGGACGCTTCTATTCAAGATTACGAGGAAAAAATACATCAAATTCTCGAGCAACATGAAAAGCAGGTCAAAGACTTGAGCGAAGAATATGAATCGCAGCTCAAAGACCTCAAAGAAGAATTAGAACTCTCCAAACAATGGATGTCCAAAGGCGTAAGCAACGAGGAAGAGTTGTTCGCACAGTATGAAGCAAAAATTCAAGACATAAAGCAGCACTATGAGAAGGAAATTGAATTTTTGAAGGAAAACAGCTCATCTAAGGATGACAGTGAAGGTGGCGACAATGAAAAATACCTGTTGGAGGAGTTGGAAAAATGTCGAGAGGAAACCGATGAGTTAGCAGCGAGGCTGGAAACTGAGAGAGAACAATTTAAAGACATATACAATAATACAAAAACTGCACAAGAAACAGAGCTTGTGTCTTTAAGGAGAGAGCTGGAAGCTAAACATCAGCAAGAGCTAAAAGAAACGAAGGAGCTTTTTGCCGAAAATGTTGAAGCTTTGAAGGAAGAACTCCTTGTCGCTTCAGACGAGGCAAAATTGCAGCTTATCGCAGAGGAACTTGAGAAGAAGCATCAGATAGAACTTGACGCTCTGAAAGAACGACTTAGTGCCGAGCATCAAAATGAAATGGAAACCTTCAAAGTACAGATGAGTGAAGAGGTTGAAGCTCTCAGGGAACAGATTCTTGACTCGTCCGAACAAGAAAGGTTTGACGTTTTGAAGGATGATTTGGAAAGGGAACATGAAAACGAACTAAAGGCCTTACGTGAGCAGCTCGAGAGAGAAAACGAAGAGGAGATAGCAAAGCTTAAAGAGGCTTTCGCGCAAGCTTTAGACGCTGTGCAAGCTGAGGAGAAAGCCAAAGGTGAAATACAACCGTATTCTCAAGAGAAATTTGATGAACAACTTGACGAAGTCAAGCGGCAACTTGAAGCGGAACATTTGCAAGAAATGGAAAAACTCAAAGAGGATATGTTACATGAAGTGAAAACCCTTCAGGAACAGGTTCAGTTAGCTGCTGATAATGAGGTGGAAGCCACGAGGGCTCGTTTGGAGGAAGAGAAAGACAAGATAAAAAATAGATTAGACGAAAAAATGGCCGAAGAGAGATCGCAACTTGAAGCAGGTAAAGTAAACCTTTAGCTGTTCTACGTTCTTGACGAGTAGCCTCATAACAACGAAAATTGAGAAAAAATTCATGTGACTGCTTAACCAAAAAAAGGTGTTGGAATCTATTTTTTGTCTTATTATTAGTATTATTTTACATCTAAATTTTTTTTGCTTAATTTTTGTTCGTGTTCTTAGTATGAAGATTTAATTTTTTTTTGACCGTTACGAAGTAGCCAATTGAGGCGGAATTTTCCTCTTTCAATGAAGTAAATTATATACGTCTTCAACCCTTTGAGCACTATGAGAGACTAGCATCTAATTTCTCCGTACAATATCAACCCTGAATCGAACATTCAGGTCACGAGAATAAAAGAAATGATCACTAACTTAAGAGGCTCTTGATCGTTAAACAAATTCTCTTTGTCAGCATCCTAGAAAATGTGTGGAGATCAGTATTGAGAATATGCATACTGATGTTTAGGTGTTAAGGGTTGAAAGAAAGCTCTTTATATGTATACTTCCAGTAATCGATTCCTTTTCAGAAGCCATCTCTTGGGACATCTTCATTTCCGCGACGTCATTACCAATTGTAATTTCTTTGTTTGTTTGTTTGCATTCGTTACGGGAAAAGGAATTGATAGGATTAACTGGCAGCATTTCCATAGTATTTTTTTTGCCTCAGAAGAATAGTTTTGAGCAATTATCGAACTAGTATTTCAGTGACCGTGTCATTTCTCAATATTTACTTACTATTCTAGATTTACTCGCTAGTTTGGAAGCTGTGAGAGAAGGTGTCAAAGCTAGCAATTCCGATTTACCAGAAGGTCCCTTGAGATCTCAAAAGACAAAGAACTGCGGTTTTCCAGGGCTGCAAAGTTTTTGGAATACATTTAGTCTTTCATAATGTTTGCCACGTGATATTTATAGCGATTTTATTAGCGATATCTTTGCAAAATTTCCGGTCCAATCCCTCGGTTTAGTTCAGAAAGTAATGGTGCAGACTTCAGGTTTTCAACCGCAGTAAATCAAAGGTGAAATTTCTCCCCTAAAATACTTTGAATTCTCGTAATTTTACTGTGTCCTGACTCTGAGGTGAAACGTTTTGACATCGTTCGATGAACCTAGTTGCAAGGTTGATTGATATACTCTGGTTCTCCGTTGATTACAGAGTGCGTAGACCGCATAGGAGCTCTTCATAAAGGCTAGATTTTCATGTAGGTTTGCCGTCTTTTCACGAAGAATTTAACCAAGGGACTCTTGTTTTGATTCTTGCATCTTTCACAGAACACCAAGCTGCCATGGCGCAAGCTCGACAGGAACAGGAAGCCCAACATCTGAGCGAACTCGATGCTCAACAGCAAAAACACGATGCTGAGATGAAAGCATTGCAGTTGAGATTCAACGAAGAGCTGGCCACCGAGAAAGCCCAGCTGGAAGAGGAGAAAAACGCTGATATGGCACGGTTAGAAGAAGCACTCAGCGGTAACCTCAGCCAACAACAAGAGTTACAGCTACAGATGTTAAAGGAGCAGCATGATCGTGAACTCGAGGCTGTCCGAGAAGAACTGGTTCGAACTCACATGGAAAAGTTCACCGAGATGACTGCTCGGTTAGAGTCTGAACACGAGGTTTGTTTGTTTTTCCTAACACTTTTTGCCTCAGAAATTAAACCTTGTTAGGGATATAAAACATGTAGGACATTCATAATCTTGGAAGTAGTATTCTGAAATAAGCAATAACAGTTGATATTTGAAGTGCTGTTAATATTATTACAAGTGTTGTAATTATTACGATATTTCTTTTTATTGTATTTATTTTAAAAAAAAAGGTTGAAATAGAGAAATCCAGTTCGTGTGATACAGTAAATTTCACTAATACGCTAGAAGTGGAAAAAACCTTAGACTGTCTACTTAAGAGATATTGACAATCTAATGAGGAGATTTCTTCATTTATATTTCATCACTCTCATTCTCACAAAAGCTTTTGTTCTATGTTTGGGAAAGTTTTATTCCCCGAGCAGTCCTAGTTTTTCCTAATAAATATTACCTTTGGTCCGCTTAGGAACTATTTCGTTCGCGGTTTTTTTTTTTGTAATTTTGTACCCTTTTCTCAAACACAACACGCGTAAAGGCTTCAAAATTTTCATAGGAAAGTATAGTCAGTTTCATGTTCTTTTTGACACCGAGTACAATTAACCTCGATTTGTTCTGTCCTAGGCGGATCTGGAAAAAATGAGAGAATTTACACGCGCCGAGATGTCTGAGAAATTCCAAACTGAACTGGAAGAGGCCAAAGAAGTGGCTCGTTATGAACTTGAACAAGAACATTTGGAAAACCTCCGACAGCTCGAGGCAAGCCTGGGACAGAATCACGCAGAACAGCTACGCGGATTGGCTGGACTACAACAGAAACACGTAGATGAAATTCACAACCTCAAGGCTACACACGTGACGGAAATCGAACGACTTAAAAAGGAGGTCGCCCAAGCATACAACGATCAGCTTTCCGCGGTAAGTTTGGACGCCGAGAGAGAAGTTTCCCAAGTGAAGGAGGAATTAGACGAAGCTCATAGCAAGGAGATTGACGCGTTCAAAGACGCACTTGAGCGTGAAAAGTCTCGCGTACTTGCGCTTGAGGCGGTACAGGCCAGCATTCAGGCGGCCCATCATGACATCGTGCAACGGATGCAGGAGAACTTTGACAAGGAGATGGGGAATGTGAGGGGTAATGTAGACTCTGCACATGGAGAGCAGGTACAAGAGCTACAGAGCTTGTTGGAGGAGAGACACAAAATGGTAAAGATGCTAGAAAAATATTTTGGTAACACTAAGATAAATACCAATTACGGAGGCTGCACAAACCTTACTGGGGTTAAGTATTTGGTGAAGGTTAGCGCGGATACCTACCTTTACACTCTTTTGCCCAAAAACCCACCCACCCACCCTCCGTCACTTTGTCTGTCGTTTGTGTTGTTATTTTGAAAGGATAGCGAAGCATTCATGAGGCAACTTGCTAGTGTTATTAGATGGAGCGTCGGCACTACACTAGATCAGATGAACTTTAGAATGGCGAAATAAGTAACTGGGAATATATGTGAAAATCATAAGTGAAAATTCATATTTATTATAATCAATGATGAAATCAGTAGCCATAGGAAATCAAAAGACTTTTCAGGTGGCGGCTGAGATGACATGTAGAGTAGCCATGTCATCTTTTTCTTTTTTCTGCACGCAGTGCTGGCTTTCGTTATCTCCCGGCTCGATGTTAGCATTACTTTTTGTTTCCTGGCCCGGGTTGTTCAAAGCTGGGTTAAGATAACCCAGGGTTAGTGTGAAATTTGATTTTAGGTCTGAAAGCTTTAAGAGAGTTCAGTTCAAATCTTTTTGCTCGCAATTTTATCATTGGACTTCCTTAAAGTAATAGGGAAGATTTTTCCTTAAAAAGGATTTTTGAACAAAGAAATAAAGAAAGCTGGATTAATATTTAACCCCAGGCTAGTGCTAATTAGCCTTCGAACAACTGGTCCCTGGTTAACTGTTTGTGCTTGATATTGGCAGGAGCTGGACCGTGTCAAATCCGATCTCGCCGCTGCTGAAGGAAGAGCTGCTGCTATAGAAGCTGAACAGGCCAAAGGTCTTGAGGAAGTCGAGGAGCAATTCCGTAAAGAAGTGGAAGTATTACAAGAGTACCTGAATTCCCAAGAGAAAGAATATATAGCAGAAATTGATAGGACTAAGGTGGGACTGCATTTCGAGATTTTTCTTTATAGCCTTAAAAAACTGCGGTGTTTTCAAATTCATCAGACAGAAAACCCAAACTGGACATTCAGTCTGACTTTTTTAAAGCAAAGGTATTAGTGGTAATGATAATTAGCTCTGCCAATCTAGTTTTGATTTGAAATCTTTTGTTCTTTTGTCTAGGATGAGAACGAAAAGCTGTTGAACAAGCTGCAGGAGAAACAGTCTCTGATTAAGGAGGTGTGTGTTAGACATTGTTTAGCAAGAGCTGTTTTTTTTTCTCTTGATCAGCACCATATTGGAAAGCCATGTTTAACTGTTGATATGTGATGGATGGGTTTTCAAGTTTTACTGAGCTCTTAGATTTTGTTATTTTGCCCGTCATTCAGTCTTGTATGGTATTTTTTCAGGGGTTAAAAAGTAGGTTTTTTCTTGAGATCTGGACATTCAATTTATCACATTTTTTTCCTCAAAAAACTGCATAAAATTCACGAAAAGTTTGGTTAACAAAATTTCTATCCAAAATCTCTTCATTTTTTTCCTCCATTTGTCTTTCCAGATGGAGGCTGAACAGGTTCGTCTTCAAAATGATCTTCAGCGTCAGTCAGACAACTATAACTTGATTTTGACACGTCGAGACAGAGAACACCAAGAGGAAGATAATCTCGTCACCATGCTTCGCTCTGATGTGGAGAGACTAGCTGCCGAGAGGTAAGGGACCTTTGCTACAACTAAGTTACAGTCCAATGAGATTGTGCTGTCATGTTCAACTGATTGAGCTGATTCTAAGTTCAATTATTTTTATCTTCTTCTTCTTGTAAGGGATGCGTTGCAGCGAGCAAACGAGCGCCTGTTAAAGCTTCTTTCAGACGTGGTGAAACAGGCGGCTTCTACCGAGGAGACGATAAACAAACAGCTTGAAGACCTGATACAGGAGACAAGCCAAAATGAAGAACAACTTACACAATGGCCCTTACATGAATTGGAGTCCGGTACAGTAAATGAGTCCCAGATCCCACCAGACTCTATTCGTCGCCCGCAAAGCTCGCTTCCTGCCGGGCTATTGACGTCAACGCCTGCTGCGGGACCCAGTGCCCCTGCGGTCAACTTTGCGACACCAACCGGAGGCGCTACCGCTGACCTGTCCGAATCAGAAGATGCAACGCTGACCAGTAAGACTGACTTGTCACTTCTCAGTGATGAAGGATTGGAACTGTCACAGCGACAAACGGACACAATCTTCCAAGGGCCGAGCTTGGATGAACAAGCTGAGGAACTTGTGATAGGTAGGGCCAAAAGTTGTGTGGAAAAGAGAGTCAGAAAGTTTTCTGTGTCCTCATACGCTGGAAAAAAAGGAACTTATCCAATATCTTGAGGAAAAAATGATGAAAGCGTTCTTTAATCGAGCGGATCATAGTTCTTCTGGAAAGAAATGGGTCTCGTTAAAACCAAGACTTTCACTCTTCTCACACATTCCACTTCTTGTCATTTCCTTTGATACGCAGTTCCGCTCACGTGTATTACAGAATTACATGCGCTTGAGCGCATGCAATTCCCACGCGTTACAAGCGTGAAACGCGCACACTGCGTGTCACTGCACATAGCCAATCAGCAGGAACTCACTTAATGTGTGTACTGAGACACAGTTTATGTAATGAAACAAAAAGGTTGAATTATTAATTCGTCAAACGATTTCCGAACAGCCGCTTCCCTTATTTAAGAACTAGTTAGTCGAACCGTTCTGGTTGTCCATCGAAGTGGCCTGTTCCAAGAACCGACTGAACTTTATCTGGCTCAAAAAGCTCCGTCCTTTGAGTAGAGCATATCAATTTTTCACGTTTATGTATAGATTACTCTTGACATGCGTGGCAGTATGAAGCCCTAATATTGCAGACGATGGTGCAACTGATTTCTAATCCTTTTGGCACTGAAACCCCGCGAAACACAATTTGCCTGCACGTACCCGTAAGGAGTAGGTCTGCGCGTTCTTTTGACCCCGAGTAAGAACCAGCTCTAAGAGTAATTAACTTTGCTTTCTCTTTTCAGATTCTGGGGTTCGGCTCAGATCTGCTGCGCAAAAACTGCTCGAAGTTGTTGCCACGATGACCAAACAGGTAATATCAATTTTTTTTGTTGCGCAGACAGTCGGCCTTGGGGGGGTGGGGGTGTTCATCAACACCACACACTTAACTGCCGCTACTTCGCAGCCGATTAAAAGCCTAACAACCAACGAGTAATACTGTAAACTTTTCTAAGGTTTTCAACGACTACCTACCCACCATCGTGTTTTTTTCCTACTACTGAATAGCGTAAGAGTCAACTTAAGTCTCGTACGTGTCGCGACGCAGTGGAAATTTTCCTGGCTAAAGCATCATTTGAATTTTTCTTGCAGTGGAATCAGGCCCGCATGGCGCAGAAAGAGCTTCTTAATGCTACGTCTCAACGAAACGAGGAGCTCGAACAAGTAATGGCAGCCCAAGAGAATCTAATGGCGAGGTTGAAAGAGGAACTGGAGGAAAAAGAACGCCTGGCAAACGAACTGAATAAAGCGAATGAACACATGGAAGAAATGGCGGCCGAAAACGACAGACTACAAGGTGAAGCCACAGATAACGTGAACAAAGAGAACGAGGAAATGGAAAAAGAAAACGAAGAGTTGAAATCAAAAGTCGAGGCTGCCGAGAAGGAGTTAAAAGAAGTAAAAGATCGTGAACAGGAGCTGGAAGAGGTAAGACGAGTTCTTGTGTCTGAAGTGGAAGCTCTTCGAGAAGAAGGAAGGCTTCGCCTGGCGCAGGAAGTGGCGGAAAAGAATATTGAGGAAGAAGAACACTCGAAGGAGTTGAAAACGTTAATTAAGGCTAGAGATGAATTGGCTGAAGAGTTAGAAACCTTGAAGGAATCCGGCGACGAGCTCTTGGAAGAGAATGATGCACTGAAGGCTGCGGTAGAGCAACTGGTCAAAGAGAAGAAAGATCTGGAGGAAAAGGTGGTGCGGGTAGAGGCGCAGAAACTCGATGAACTTGATGGCCCGGAGGAACTCAAAGCTAACGTGAAGGAATTGAGTGAGGTTTCTCAGCGACTTAAAGAAGAAAACTCTGAATTGGAGGCAAAAGTTGCTTCTCTAGAGAAAGAAGCGAATCGGTCTCAAATGACGGGTTCTGAGGCTCAAGTTATTCAAGAGAATGATCATTTGAAGAAGGAAGTCGAAAAATTACAGGAGGATATCGGCGAGTTACAGGAAGAAAACGAAAAGCTGAAGGACGCCATTGAACAATTCAGGGAGGCAGTACAGCAGCTTTGGGACGAAAAAGAAGAATTGAGTATCGAGCTGTCCAAGGCGAGAGGAGAAGACACCTTGGAGTTTGACGAGCTCCAGCAGCTGAGATTGCAGACCAAAGAACTGACGGGACAGAATGAAGAGCTTACGGAGAAGCTTAAAAACGCTGAGTTGGAGCAAGAAAAGAAACGAGAACTGCTCCAGAAGGCGCAGATTCACCTCGAAAAAATTCCTGAGTTAGAAGCCGAGGCAAAGGAACAGAATGAACTCGTGAATCAGTTGATGCAGGAACAGCTGCGGAATAAGGAAGAGATCGAGAAACTTCAACGCGCTGCGTCCTTGCAGAAGGAGGTACCCTTGATACAGGTATGCTGGATGGACTTACTGTCTGTCGCTCACAATATTAAGGATACTTGTTTAGACCTTGAAATACTAAGTGCTCCAAAATCGAGCAATGATCATACTAAAGATCTGTATGGATCGCATAGTCCGCTCGTTTCCGCTTGCATATGTAAACTAATGTAATGTTTTTCAACTTCGCTTGTCTAACAATTGCAAATGACAATTGCATCTCTGTAAAGTAAGTTTAATGAAGGTTAATCCGATCAAAAGTTTCTTTTGATCGGATTTTATTTTCTTAGTCTTCTTGGCAAGATTTTGAGATTCGAAAAAAAATTTGCTGTTATAAAATCTTAGTTTGTGTGCAGTAGGATATCTGGGCTAGTGAAGCTTATGCGCCAAGGCAGTGAGAAACCTTTCAGCAGTCTATAAAAGGTTGTCGAAAAAAAAAGGACAAAATTTCACGTGACATTCTTGAAAGGAAATCAGGGTATCTAGTAATAACTGACGTTTCTCAGATTTCTTTGAAATCATGAAGTCGAGAAACCGTGACCTCTAAACTACCCACAACGTCCTTCGGGGTTGTCGTGTGTACTTGAAAGCTTCTTTTCCCGCCACCCTCTCGTGAAATAGCTGCATATCATTTTTGTTTCCTTCAACAGGTTACGACTGTAGAAACTGTTGAGGGAGGTATTCATGGCGAAGAATTATGGGGAGTTGATGATAAAACAGACGGCGGAGATTCCAAAGAAGATGAGGAAACCGTTCAAGAATTAAAGGCAAAAGTTAACGATCTTGAGCAACAGGTTGAAAACTATAAAAAGGTCTTGGAAGAAAGTATTCAGGAGCCGGAAGCAAATAAGCTTATGGAACTCGTTGAACAGGTTCGCTCTGAGCGGGAAGACTTAGCTAGCAGGTGCAAGGAACTGGAAGGGAAAGTGAACGAGGAGGGACAATCTAAGGAAGATATGCAGGCTGCTATTGAAGAGCTGGGAACACGCTTGAAGGAGTTAGAAGAGAGTAACTTAGAGTTAGAGAGGGAGTTGAGTGCAAAGACGCAATCTGAGATCGACTCGTTGGTGCAGATTAAGGATCTGCAAGATGAACTGACCAAAGCTCTGGAAGCTTTTAAGGAATTAGAGGAATTGAAAGATAAATTGCAAGAGGATTTGGAAACTAGCGAGGAGACTCAGAAGGACCTGGAGCGAGAGAGGGTGACCATGCAGAAACAGCTCAATGATGGATTTCTTCAGATCTCTGCACTGAAGGTGAGATAACTGCCTTCTTTTTTTCGGTCATTTTCGTAGCCCTCCAGTGAGGGCCTTGAAAAGTTTCACTTTGATATGACCCCAGGGCGAAATCGTGACAATTCTTTTTGGCGAGACTATTATGCGTCAATCAGTTCCTCCCCCTTCAAGCAACCCCCTTGGACAGATCCCGTCAACAGATCTACGTGGAAATGGGTAAAACATATAAAAAGGTTCGTATGGGTCCTGGAAACCCTGGAAAGTCTGGGAGTTTTAATTTGACATTTCCAAGGACTGGAAAGTCCTGGAAAAGACCCCAGGTTCTGGAATGTTCTGGAAATTTGCTTAATTCAAGCAATTAAGTTTTCAGAATTTATGTTTTAACAAATGTATGTAGGCCGTTAGAAGAATTAATTTTGAAATCTTGAGAACGAAAGGGTTTAAGGTGAAATTTGAAGCCCTTTACAAATCAGTCTGAGTCCTGGAAAAGTACTAGAAAATTCCTTGAAATTTGTTTCTGAAAAAGGATACGAACCCTGATATAACTGCGAATATGGAATTCGGAGTTCTAGCGTGTCTTGATAATCCTAGAGGAACAGTTGTAATATTGCTCATTGTATGCCAAGGAAACTGATCCAAAACGGCTTTTAAGTCAATCTTCTCCAATAGAACCTGCTCCAAGCAATCGAGTTTTTTGTAGTTTTACCTCCAAGGAACTTTAATTTATAATAACCTCCTATTTAACCATTGCCTTTGTGTTACTGGGTAATTCTCTGTTGTACAAATAATTTCGTTACCCTTTTAAGGAGCAGCTCAATCGGACAAAGCACGAGGGTGGAGTAGAACGCGACGAAACCCCAACCCCTGTCCGAATGCTCCGAGATGAACGCGAAGCTTACGATCGTAAAGACGAAGAATCTCGAGCGTTAGCCGAGCAATTAGACACGTTCAAAGAGGCTCTTGACAAGAAAGAAGACGAATTGAAAAACCTGGCGGAGCAAATGGAAGAAATGAATCTGATGATGGAAGAACAGCAGAAACTGTTGGAAGATCAGCACAGCAAACTAAAGGAACAAGAAAATTTGATAAATGAGCGCGAGGACCGCACGAAAGAATTGGAAAAACTATTGCAAGAGAGCAAAGAAGGGGTGGAAGATAAGGAAGAGTTTGATAAAGCGCTCAAAGGGAGCCAAGATGCTTTGGTCCAACAACAAAAGGTCATTGAAGAGCTCGAAAGTAAAGTAAATGCCATGGAGCAGTTGACAGCTGAGAACGGAGAAAAGTTAAGAAATGCAGAAGAACAGTTGGCTTCTAAAGAAGAAGAGATGAGGCTTCAGGGAGAACAACTTGCCACGCAAGGAGAAGAAATCAAATTGTTGCAGGACGAATTAAATCGAGAGAAAACTGTGAAGGAAGAGAGAGATTCTGAAGCAGAAACCCTTCTAGCCAAGCAGGTGAGTTTGAAACCGGATGTGACGTAATGCGTGCGCGAGTGAGTGCGCGCGCGAGAAAATGCGTGAGCGATTCGTGACGGTCTTCGTTTGTTTGCGTAATAAGTATTGAGCTCATGGTAAGACGACTGTGTCAGTTTTACGATGTACAGAGAACAGATCATGCTCATTAGATTAGAAAGTTTTCAATCCAGCACGAAGACTTAAGCTGTTTTGCAATTTGCAAGAAATTGTTTTCGCGACATCTCTTGAACTTTCCTGATTTCAAATGCACAGAATTTTTGTTCGCATGTTAATAGTGTAAACGTGAGGCCTCTTGGCTTGCATTATGCTGAATATGGTTCTGTTCACGGCAGTTAATCCTTTTAATTTGATCTGTATCACGCTCTAACAAAGTGATTTTGTTCTTGGTTTTTTTTCTGTAGTTAGAGGCGATGAGTCAAAAATTAAATCAATCGCAAGAGATCGTGCGAGCCAAAGAGCAAGAAAAAGAACAGATTCGTAAAAATCTTCTGGCTGAGTCGCGCCAGTTGGCAGCTCTCCGAGCAGAGATGGACCAATTACGTGAAAAATTCAAATCTCAAGAGGACAGTCACGCGTCTGTAATCACTGACTTACAAAAAACGCACAGAGATGAAGTCAACGCCCTTAAAGCGGAGCTGACAAGGGGGGTACCCACGGGAGCTGAAGATACTTTGAGTCCAAGTCAACAGCTTGTCTTTGAGCAGGTAAGGTGTTCTTTGCAAACTAGAAATTAAGGGTGTGGCTGCCTGGTTACCTAACTCACACTTTTATTTGTTTGAAAAATGAAGAGCGCATAATTTTTCTATAACTACTGATCGGTGGAGCCGGAGAGCAATGCCAGTTTTTATCCACTTAATCTGTTCTTTGCTTCGATTTATTGTTGGCTAAGAAGTTGGTTTTGAGACGATCGTAATTTTTCTACCAAACGTTGAAGTGGACTCTCGCTAATTTACTGTCAATGCTTGAACTGATTAAAGTGAAATGTTAATCGCCCAAAGTAAATAAGAGCGAAAACGTGTTTGGTTTACCGTTGCCATATTTTGCTCGAGAAAGTGGCTCAAGTTTTGAAGACAAATCACAGAGCGAAGCGAGCAAGAACCAGTGCGCTCTTGGATCACTTTCGACACGCAATTCACGTTTTTGCAGATTGTTTTTCGACCACTTTCTCGTTCGTAAGTGTACAGTGTCGTGATATTTATTTCCGTGTTAATGCATATCAATAGAAACTAAAAGGTGTTGAGGAAAATCTCAAACGGCAATACGAGAATCAGCTGGTGGCTGTGAAAGAGAACGAGGAGCAGAGACGACAAAGGGAAATAAAACAAGTGAAGGCTGATCTAGAGATGGACAACTTGACAAAACTGAACAATCTGCGGAAAGATCTGCTCACCACACATAATGACCAGGTGAACAGAATGCGACAGGATCATCAACGAGAAATAGAGCGTTTGATGACTATATCAGGTTGGTGGTCAATGTGTAATACCTCATACGTTGGTATTCCCGCTTTGGGAAGTTGGTCTTCATTGGAGATATGCAGTTTATCCTCTATATAAGCAATAGCGCTCATTTGGCGCGAAATTTTGCGCGGACTCTATCTGTTCCAACAATCGAACAGTTCTCCGAGAGCGTAGCGGGAGGAACACTGTGAGTCTCGAGGAACAGATTATGTTCAAGGACAAATTTACAAGCACAGTTTTACACCAAATGAAGGCTATTGTGTATGTTATCCTTCCAATATTTTTAAACGCGATATGAAGGTTTTAAAAGAAAAAAAACATGTTCCTTCTTTTGTAAAAACCTTATAACGCACTTTCATTATGAATTAACTTTTTAATGAAAAGTTTTCCTTATAGGACGTAATGTTTGGAAATTGGGAAATGTCACTTAGGGTATATCCTTGGATATTCCACAGTTTTAACTGAATCACTTGATGCCAATTACTCGCGGGCAAAATATTTGATTGATTATAATTTCAGCGATTACTATAGTTGAGCAATGTTTTTTTTTTACTGCTCTGAAAGTTACTCAGCCGAATGACAGACTTAAGTTTCTGCCGCCGTTAGAAGATCCAATTAATTTTTAATTACAGACTACACACGAATCCTATATTGACGTAAAAGAGGTCTTAATTTTTTTCCATGTATAGGCATCGAATCTGCGTCACCAGAGATGCGCGTGCGTCTTAACTCGGCGTTGGATGAGAACGAGCGACTGGACAATGAACTTGTTGGACAGCTCGTACGGCAGGCTCGCGTTAAGTCAGCAACTACTTCACCTCTAAAATCCCGAAACACTATCGAAGTAAGAGAGGGTTTTTCTAATGCATGCTTGATATATCAGTTATTATCCATTTATGAGAAGGCTGATCTGTAAACAGATCAGTGAAAGACAAACTTGTGGCCAAAAGGTGAAATTG